TCCAAAATAAATAATTACAACCTTGTTTCTAATTAGATTTAGACAATTGTCTTTTTTAGTTTCACTATTTTTTAAAGTTGAGGGATTAAATTGAACAAAATAAAGATACAAGAACTAAATTGAACAAAACACAATAATACAGAAACTTCATATGTACTTTAACCTAAAAGGCACTCTTGATCCTCAAACACCCACCTATCATAAATACTAGTCAATGACCCCAAATCAGGCACAAGGATGCTACCATCCTTCTTCTCAGCTCCACCAAAATAAGATAGCCCTCCCATTCTCTACAACACATGACAAATCCCAGAACCAAAAAAAGCTTGAATTATAAATGTACAATCTCAATATATTTGATGTAACTAAATGACCCGGGGTATATAATTATGTACAGATCAATTATGTTTGCATAAATCATAAAGGGTAAAATAATGAAGACAATATAAATGTGGCAATAATCATGGTGTTGAGTTTCTCTCATATAGGGATTAGGAATATAAGTTTGTCTCATACTAGGAATATGAGTAAAACATGGTAGACGCATTGAGGGATTGGAAGGGGTTGTGTCACCAGTATAATCATCACTTTCACTCCCGTGGATGTAGACACATTGCCGAACCACGTAAATCTTGCTTTCTTTACCTTTCTGTCATTATTATTGTTTCTTGTTCCTGTTAATCTCAATAAATTGGTATCAGAGCACGGTTGAGATGGTCTATTCAAGTATAAAATTCGATATGAGTTATCTTTTCTCCTAAAGAGCATATTCGCCAAGGTGGAGATTGTTGAGTTTGTCTGAATATGAGTTTGTCTCATACTAGGAATAGGAGTGAAACAGAGTAGACCCATTGTATAGGGATTAGATGCCTATAAAATATATTGGTTGTATCCCTACGGGTTGTGTCACCACTATAATCATCACTGTGAATAAAAGAATACTTTCACTCCTGTGGATGTAGGCACATTACCGAACCACTTAAATCTTGCCTTCTTTATCTTTCTGCCATTATTATTGTTTCTTGTTCCTGTTAATCTCAACACATGAATTAATGCTTGAATGTGTTACAAGAATATATTGTAGTAAGATTGAACATGATCTGTAACATCTAGACAATGCAATATTTTCATAAATATTAAACTTTTAATTGAGATGGCAGCTAAGTTATGTTTCATTTGAAAAGAACCGAAATGGCATACCCCTTTTCCGAAACCAAAGATTCCATGAACCAACACAATGGGAGGCAGATTGATGGCGCTGGTTGTGCCTGTTGAATCCTCTATTCTCAGCCCAGTTTTCCAAAGGACAAAATAATCGCTCAAGATCTGAGAGAGGTCACCAGCCACAGCTGTGCTGAATATGTAGAAACCATATCCCAAATGAACCATAGAACTCACCAAAAGCTCAGCAAGTTGAAGACCTCTTATCCACCATTTCTTCATTTTTACCCTCAACATGCAACCAAGTTTCAAAACAAACTTTATTGGGACCAAAAATGTAAAAAACATCAATCTTCCAACTCTTCTCCTTCTCCCAAATATTACCTACTGAACCAATGAGTTAAGTCCGCGCGGGCATCAATCTTCCAAGTCATCAATATGGAAAGGAATAGTCTCTCAAATTAAATTCATTATATTATCCAAAACCGTTGATACCTATGAGCAAAAATAATAATATGTTTGCTTCACCTAGAAACCCAGAGATTAGGTAATTTTTAGGTAAGAAACAAAATCAGTGATAAAGAAGACAATCTAAAACCTCTTGATAAAAACTCCATCTATTCATTTTTATTTATTTTTTTTTGGAATTTTGTACAAGTTTGTAACTTGAGACACTTTCTAGATGGAATGTTCAAAGAGGAAAAGAATTAAGAATACGTGGTACTAGTTTTTTAAGGAAAACGCATTGTACCTGAAATTATTTACAACTTTACGATATATAAAAATTGTATTAAGTATAATATTTCTTTAATATTTATTAGTTACTCATAATTTAATTAATTTTATGAATAAGTGAATTAATTATTATTCCATTTGTCCCATTTTACATGTCTTATTTACTATTCATTGGTCAAACAAATCCTTTCTTCTTTGCTTATTTTCTTTAGTATTTTTTCAAATATTGATTTGATTTTTGTGTTTTTTTGAAAAAGAAAATTTTGATTTTTGTGTTTAATAATACTTCTAATGTAATTTATAAATATACAAATTTTATAATTTTTTTGGGGAAAATTTCACTTTTCGTCCCTAAATATAGTAATTGTAGATGAATTCATCCCTAATGGTTGGTCATGCTTACTTTTCACCACTAAACTATCATTGGCATTGTACTTTTCATCCCTACATTATACTAAAATGGCAAATTTCGTCCATAATATTTTGTTTGTAAAGGGACGAAAGTGCAACACCAATGATAACTTAGGGACAAAAAGTGAGTATGACCAATAATTAGGGACTAATTCTACAATTATTATATAACTTAGGGACGAAAAGTGCAATTTTTTCAATTTTTTTCATAGCATTAATTTTAAAAAAATGAAATTAACAATATTTTTAAAAATTTAGTTTATTCCATAATAATAATAATAATATAACATAAAATATCTATTAGATTTAATTATCGAAATTAATTACTATATCATTCCCACAAATGGTCAATCAATGCATTACGGAGACTTCTTTAATTTGTCTATGCCGAGCAAGAAATTCTTAAAATATAATATTCTCATCTCTAGTTATATCAACTTTAGGAGCTCATACTTCCCTCCAACTTTGATTATTTTTATTATGTTGAAATTATGTTTGATCTATTTGAAATTTTAATAATATATATTCAATATTAGTCTTGTTTCAATCTTCTCAATGAAGACTTTAAAATGGTATAATTTATATTTAATAATACAAACTTTAAATATAAGTATTTAACAAAATAAAAAGTTACGTATAAAACAAATAAATGATACATTTGAAATTATAAAAATAAACAAGGGTAAAAACGTAAATTTTCTCCCCCTCTCACATTTGCCGCAAGTGAACAGTGTCGCGCTATATATGGCGTGACACTGTTCACCAACAGCAAATTTTTGGGCATTTGGCTTGAGTTTTGCCGTTGGTTGGAGCAACAATAAATTGTGGGATGGTGGAATGCCGCAGCAATTTCCCCAATGACAAAGGAAATTATTTTCTTTTGCAGTTTCCACTCATTATTTATTAAATGTGCAGTTATACACATATAATTTATCCTCTGTACAAAGATCCAAGTATTAGTAGTGGTACTAACCATTTGACTATTAGTCCTAAAAAACATCTTAAAATTTACACTCTCATCAGAAAATATCTTGAATATGTCCCTACTCACAGTCCAATTTGAAGGGATTTTAAACCTAGGTCAGAAAATAACAACAAACTTCCTAAAATCTTAACCCTCAAAAACCTAAAAGGTATATTGTAGTACATCAACAATAATCGTTTCAGGTAGTGTTCTCTTGGTCAGCTCTCGATCAAATACCTAGGTTCGCAACGCCCGTTCACTACTCTTAGTTCCATCAGAACTAGGGACATGTTGGAAGGTGAGAAGAGATTTCCTAGTATCCTTGGAGAGATGATATTTTTTAAGTAATTTAACATGTGATTTTTCAAAGAAGCAGAAGTTTCATGTTTCTTGGACTCACATGCAAACAACTTTGCACAATATAAGCACTTATGTTGTGGGTACGAGAATCAACAATGAAGTTAGAATATTTTAGAATAAGTTTTATTAATTAATTAGGATAATTATCTTAATATTGTTTTAGATTTAGTTTGTTAAATTATATTATAATTTATGTTTATCTTAGTTTGTTGGTTAGGATTAGATTATCCTATTATTAATAATTATCTCATTCATGCGGTTGTAATCTGCTTGTTAATGGCTATTTAAGGTCATTGCATGCATAATGAAATATATAGTTGAGAATTTTTGAGATAGGAAACTGAGTGTTTTCTAGAACTCGGGAGAGTTTGACCATGATCAAGTCATGGTGATTCTGACTTATCAAGTGTGAAACCTCACTTGTGGCGTCGTCCCAAATCCTACGTATCACCGTATAACCCGGTGTGGCCGAGGACTTATCAAAAACCACAAAAACAAACCCTTATACATGTTGGATCCGTTGGTAGAATAACAAATAATAATCCAATAAACGAAACTTGCTGTTCAGGCATGTTTGGAAAATGGTACCGAAGTTTGGCATAACTTATGCCCGCAGGTGTCGGCGTACACGAGCTCGGGCTTGAATAAAGCCTTTTCGATCTCGTTTGTAGTTGGAATTCGATAACCAAAATAGCCACTTAACATGTCATTTTATGCTATTTTAAGCTTTTTTTTTTTTTTCAACAATACCCAGCCTAAATTAAACCTTTTAATCTGATTTCACCTAGCCTAATAAACTGTTCTGAAATATTATTTTAGTCAGAGTGTGAAGAGAAAATCGGGCCAACCAGATTCGCATCAACTTACCTTTAATAACAATGCCCTCTTTGTTTTTTATATTTTCGAAGTTGTCTCGATCTCTTTTCTTTTCTTTGGAACTGATGGAAGCAAAGACTGCTGAGATGTATTTGTCTCTATAGCTTGGACTTCCACCTCATGTTCCTCACTTAGTGGAGGAGGCTAAATTTCTGACACACTAATACTGTCCATCTAAAAAAGAAAGTATTAGTAAATGGAAATCACTCAAATCATAAACAACAATCACTAGTAGAAAAAGAGTCATATGCGTTTTTAAAAGTAAAGACGCGTACGGCGCAAACACTAAAAGTTGGCAACTTTACTCGTCTTTATTTGGTAGTCGCGTAAGGTGGACTATACGCGTCTTTACTAGCTAATTAAAGACGCGTTTTTGTGTTTAATAAAAAAAAAACAATAATACGGCAGGTAAAGACGCAGCATACTGTAATATTTCTTTAATATTTATTTTAATTCAATAGTATCCTGTACTAATCTTTGCTCCAACAGAAAATTCCACTACCAAACAACATTTATATGGTTCAAACCATTCAACACAATATATATAATCCAACATACATAATTGTCTAACACAATATAATCATCCAACATACATAATTGTCTAACGCAAAATAATAATCCAACATTAATATATCATAATATATACAATGTAATTCCATCTAGTGCACCTAATAAACATTTATATGCACTCATTTACAAAATAGTCTATCCATAAATTCCGTATCTCATCTATTTCATCCTTAGAATAAGCATTTGTGTCTTGATATGCCTACAAAATTTTGGATAATTAAAAAAAAAAAAACAATGAGTATATATACTATAAAATATCTTTCAAAAAAAAAAAAACTATAAAATATTATAATAATTAAAAATATTTAAATTGTATCACTTTGTACTCACCTCATCCAACGAAGTGTAGTTATGAAATTTTGTGCATATATCATATATGAACCTCATAACGTAGTATCCACATTCATCACTACCGGGTTGTTGAGGACACTAAAAGAAAACCACGTACACATGTATATATATAGATGTATGTATGTATTAGTTAATTGAAATATAACTAAGTAAAAATTTTATAGTAAATAATCATATTTTTTATACCTTCACATATTTCCAATTAGCATTACCCATAATCCTTTGCCCTCGTTGAATTGTAGAGGTTCGAAAAGCCCTATCATTAATGTATATATATAGAAATAACTTAATTTCCAATAAAATAATACTAAACTTATGAAAAAGACATAATTTGAAGTACATAATATTTTAATACTTTTACTTACATATTCACGGCTTGTTTGACTTCAATTTTACCCAAATCAACATTCAGATTTTTCACTTGTTCATAAATTGTTGTTCCCGATAATGGCAATCGGGCTACTCGAGTCTCAACTTCTCCATTATAAGATTTTTTCTTCTTTCGGTAAGGATGTCCAATAGGGAGAAATGTCCAGTGACTCATGAACACATTCTTTCTACTATTATTCAATCATAGGTCACTCGTTTCATCCTCACAAATGGGACATGCCTTAGCTCCTTTAGTAGTATAACCAGACAAGTTACCATACGCGGGAAAATCATTTATTGTGCAAAAAGTCATAGCACGTAAGGTAAAATTGGTTTGACTATATGCGTCAAACATTTCCACACCTTCGTTCCACAACATTTTTAAATCATCAACAAGCGGCGCTAAGTATACATCTATGTCATTTTCAGGTTGTTTAGGTCCTGAAATCAGCAAAGATAACATGATGTACTTGCGCTTCATACATAACCATGGAGGAAGATTGTAAGCTACTAAAAGAACTGGCCAAGTGCTATGTCGACTACTCATATTACCGTGGGGATTCATTCCATCTGTACATAGCCCAAGTCTAAGGTTCCTATTTTCACAACCGAATTCAGGAAACATCCTATTAATGTTCCTCCATTGAGGAGAATCAGGTGGGTGTCACAATTTTCCATCTTCTTTTCTCCCTTTAGCATGCCAGTGCAAATTCTTTGCATCATTTGGATTTGCAAACAAGCGTTTGAATCTTGGTATTATAGGTAGATACCATAACACTTTTGCTGGAGGCCCTTTCTTATCCTCACATACATCAACAACGTTTTTTCTCTTATAACGGGATGCTCCACACTTTGGACATACATGCAAGTCACTGTATTCTTTCCGATACAATACACAATCATTTGGACATGCATGTATCTTCTTGATCTCCATACCTAGCGGGCACAACATTTTCTTTGCCTCATAGGTTGAACTAGGAAGTTCGTTACTGTCAGGAAGCATGTCCTTTAAAAGTTCTAATAACTCTGTAAAACCCTTATCACTCCATCCATTTTTTGCTTTTAAGCTATACAATTTCAACACAGCCGATAACTTTGTAAATTTGGCACATCCAAGAAATAAAGACTTTTCTGACTCAACAAATAAACTTTCAAATATATGAGGCATTTCACTACAATCTCCTTGCATATCACTAAGGCATTTCATCTATTCGATCATTATCTCCATCATTATCATCATCACTACTTTTTTCCTTTTCAATATCATCATTTTCCTTATAAGCACCGCCACTACTACTTGGGAGTAGACTTTCACCATGCCATATCCACCGATTATACCCTTGCTTAAAACCACGACGAATCACATGATCTTTCACTTGCTCAGAACTACGAAACTTTCTCAAATTCTTGCAATCATAACAACGGCATACAATAAAGTAATCATTTTTTTAGCTTTATTTTCTTTAGCATATTTTATAAACTCTTTTACCCGTTGCACAAATTCAAGTGCATTGTGTTTCCTATACATCCAACTCCGATCCATACCTCCAACTAACACCCGTTACAATCAATCTGTAAATTAAAATAGCTATTCATTCAACTCACATCTAATGATTTAAGTACATAGTTAGATTTAGTTTTTTATTATTATTATTATTATTATTATTATTATTATTATTATTATTATTATTATTATTATTATTATTATTATTATATTTGAATTAAAGTTACAATTAGTTATGGTTAATAAATTTGACTTTCTTCAATTTCATATACTAAAAATTTTATACGTATACTTAATTAATATGTATTAAACACTAGTTGTTATCATAACTAATAAAAATTATAAAATTTACTAATCAATACAAATACACAATTAATAAAAAATTCACTACCTACTTACACAAACAACCATATAATATAATATAAATATTTCACAAATTCTCAACTTCATTATATATACTATAATCCACAAATTTAATACTTATATATACACTAGTTTTTTTACGCGCATTGCGCGATTGAGATAATGCCCAATGTTTTTTTTTTAAAATAAGTACTATAAAATATATCAATGCAAGATTATATTGGAATTGTTCATGCATAGATAATTGAATGTTGAATATGCATATTTAAATAGGTAATTCTAAGTTTACAAATGCAAGATAATATAGTCAAGATTGATTATAATTGTCAATAAAATAATTGTATGAGTATGGTTGAAACCAAATACGGGAAATAAGGGAGAGCAAATTGTTGGAGGATAAAAATGTAATATCCTCCCTTCCCTTTTATTTCTATTCTTTTTCCCTTATTCCCTTATATAAACCAGTGTATCCTCCAATTCTCCAATTCTCTCATCATCAATAATACTACCTTTCTTCTTCAATCTGCTCCATCTCTGCTTCTTGTTCATTCAATGTAATCCATATTCCGACCTCATCCACGCTGCTGCATTTTCCGGTGGCGGAGAAGTCGATGAAGTAAAGCGACGCCGACACCTAAATAGTTCCTGTGCAATCCTAGTTAATCTGCAGAGGATGATTCTGATCCATCCGCAGAGGATGATTCCAATCCATCCGCAGAGGATGCGTAGCAACGATGCCGGTGCTCGATCACCAGTTAGATCAGCATCGTCAATGATTCCGCAGAGGAATCTGAGTTCGGAGCAGCAGATGCCCGTAGCCGATCCGCAGCGGAAGGCGATTTTTAGCGTTGAGAGGTTTTCGTTGTCCGGTAAAGCTAGGAAGCCGAACAATGAAATCGACGTGAATTTCTCAGAAAATTCAATGTCTCCGGTTGTTTCTGCGACGTCCGATCGTGCTCCGTCAACGTCGAAGAGCTCAGGCGCCGCACGTCGCAAGTCAAGAGAGGTTGCGAATGAGATCTGCAGATCTTTGGATCTGCAGGAAGAGGATTTCGTAACCGACAATTCAGATTATTATTTCCATTGCAGTTTCAGCAGAGAGACGACTCCAACTAGCGATCAGCATCGCGGAGACACAGAGGCGGAAATAGAATCTGCCGCTGAATCGAAGTTAGCTGAAAATAGAGCGTTTGGTGAGGAGGTGTCTAAGCCAGAATCTGGTAATCCTTCTAATCTAGCATCTACGTCTTTTTGTAAGGCTATTGAGGGGATTAGACATGCTGATTGTGTTGAGATTAGTGAACAATTGCTAGATACACCAATTGTTTGTAAAAATGCATTAGTGAGCCTGAATCCCAAAAATGCTGGGTTGGACACTAAAAATGGTGCGGTGATCGTGGAGACTTTGAAGTCTAAATTGGAAGAGTTGAATCTTGAATCAAGACTAAAAGGAGATGAGTTGAGAAATTTGAGCAACATTTCACAGAATTTAGAGAAAGAGAAGTGTGAACTTATATCTAGCAACAAAGATGTTGCTGACAGATTAGAAATGACACTTCAGGAAGTAAAGAACCTTCGTGATTTTGTCAATTTTCTGGCTGTGACACTGAGCCTTGCATTTGCGATGAAACAGTTAATGGACAACAAGGCACTGGTGAGAACTTTTTCTGCATGCGAGACAATGTGTTCTGCTACTTGCATTTGCACTGATAAAACTGGGACACTAACAACCAACCATATGGTGGTCACTAAAACATGGATTTGTGGAGAAGTTAGAATAATAGAAGCTGGTGAAGGTGGCAGCAACAACATAAGTTCAGAAATATCAGAAAATGTATTAGCCGTTATTTTGCAGGCAATCTTTCACAATACAGGGGCCGAGGTGGTGACAGATAAGGATGGAAATAGATCTATTTTGGGTACCCCAACAGAATCAGCTATAGTAAAATATGGGTTGCTTCTGGGAGGTGAGTTAGGGGCTCAACACAAGGACTGCAAGGTATTGAAAGTTGAACCTTTTAATTCCGAAAAGAAAAAGATGTCTACTTCTCCAGAAATGCTCTGTTGCTTCTGCCCTGGTCCTTTTAAGCATGCAGTTTGTTGAATATGTTGTGAATTTGAAGTTTGATGAGGAACCAAACTATGCCAAGTACATTTCTTTTGATGGATTAGCTGGACCAAATCCAGACATCAGACCCTTCTTTGTATAATGTTGGTTGCTGTATTGATTTTTTTTCTTCGTTCTTTTGTATCTAAGCTGGACATGTAGAATCTACACGCTCCAGCTTACCGGGGGGGGGGGGGGTGTTGGAGGATAAAAATGTAATATCCTCCCTTCCCTTTTATTTCTATTCTTTTTCCCTTATTCCCTTATATAAACCAGTGTATCCTCCAATTCTCTCATCATCAATAATACTACCTTTCTTCTTCAATCTGCTCCATCTCTGCTTCTTGTTCATTCAATGTAATCCATATTCCGACACAAATAAAAATTAGGGCATAAAATATTAAATATACACTAATATTGAAGAGGTAACTGCTGGTTGCCAAACAAGGACATCGCGAGATAGTTTCCCACTTCAATTTGTTGTGTGATTTGAATACTCTTTTTTGTCAATAAATCTCTCAATTAAGTAGTTAATATGATTGGCTTAATTATATATTTTTTTATTTTTTATAATAATAATAATAATAATAATAATAATAATAATAATAATAATAATAATAATTATTATTATTATTATTATTATTAATTATTAATAATTATTAATTATTATTATTATTACCAGGACTATGTGGTCTAATGGTATCCGGGTTGGACTTCCATTTGGAAGATTATGAGTTCAAGCCTCAGTGGAGGCGTTATTGGTTCTTTGTGTTTCAGTAGGTTGAGAAAGTATATGAACAGATACTACAATGTAATAGAGCCAGTAACTTTCAAAAAAAAAATTATTATTATTATTATTATTATTATTATTATTATTATTATGTATACCCTTAAGTCAT